TATATTAAATAATTAATTAAATTAAATATATATGAAAAAATATACTTATAACTCATTTTAAGTTAAGATGAAACTTCATAAAAGTTTTCATCTTTAAACATTATAAGTTAATGTTGAAAACTCCACGATTACCACAGGTATGTAAATTCAAGGTTATAAAACTACTTTTTGTTCCCTTAGGTAAATTTGTCGAAAATTAAGTCTCACTGCTGAAATCTATGAACTTGTTTTTTCTGTCTTCGTTTTTTAAAATGAGGAAACCTATTTTATCTCTAGACAAACCAATTTATATTGGCGTTTGCCTATTAGAATTAAGCAAATTACACATTTATGAAACATTTTATAAAATATTTAAAAACAGGTACGGTGAAAACGTACAATTCATTTATTATATACTGACATAGATTCTCTAACACTTCAAATTTTTACAAACGATGTTTACGAGAATTTTAAATCATTCCCCGATATTTGTGATTTTAGTAACTATCCCAAAATTCACAAATTATATAACGAAACGAACAAAAATAAATCGGGATATTTTAAAGACGAAACCGATAATTGAATTTTGCTCCCTAAAACCTATTTTGTAAGATGTGATTGTATGAAATGTAAAATTTTATCTGAAAATGTAATTTTCTAGAATTTGTATATCTATCTAATATTTTAAAAAGTTAAAATTCCGAAAAAGGCTTCTGCGGGAGCAGCTGGATGTGATCTATTTTGTAATAACAGCTTTAAAATTAATCCAAAAAAGTAAAATTTACGGATCTGGTTATCGAAATGCCAAATACCTGTTACGCTAGAAAAGCTCCAAAATCTTCTTTATCTTTGATTATTATAATAATTAATGCGGGAGTAATTGATTGTGAGTACTGTGGAAACATCGGAGTCCTAATGTATAATTTTGGACAATAAATTATTATTTTTGAAGCTGGAACAGCTATCGCTCAAATAATTTTTGAAAAAAATTATACATCCGACTCTTATTGAAACAGATTCATTAGACATCACTGACAGGGATGATAAAAGCTTTGGAAAATATACCGAAATTACCTTTTCTCAAAAATAATTTTGTACCCAATTATTTTACACAGGTACTCAAGTATTATGTACTCAATTTAAATCTGTATTCAATCCAAATAATGTAGCCCAATAAACAAATAATATAAAAAAATTGTTTATTTCTTTGTAGGCAATAAGCAACCTTCTTTGGCTGGGAAACTTTCTCATCTTCGCCATTAGAAGAACGTACTATTTGTCATCTTAAAAATTATGTTGATTGGGATAAAATCAGTCAGCGAAACGATTTATCCCACACGTTTATTTCGGAATTCGCAGATGGGAATTCCTACGGAAAAATTAACTTAATTTATGTATTTCCTTATTCATTTATTATACAACATGTTGATTATGCAAAATGGGACCTAATGTGCCAATATCAGAAATTAGACGAACATTCCTTAATGAGATTTTTAGATCAGTTTGATTGGAATAAAATTGCGGAATTTCAAACTTTTTCCGATGATTTCATTGTCAACTTCATACATAAATTTGATATAAAAATAAGTTTTAAAACACCAACAATTAAAAACCGCAACTTTACGCAAATTAAAAGATTATCTAAATTGGAATTTTGTTTCCCGTTACCAAATACTTGATTTTGGAATTCGTCAATAAATTCTGGGTCAACTTTCTTGGTGTCACATTTTAAAATATCAAAACTTAAATCGAGATTATATTGTCAACAACCGTGAAAATTTATTCCTGCACTTAGGGTGCGACTATGCAGACGCGAGCGAGGGAGAAGAGGCGAGACACGATAAATATCAGAACCTGTCAGATATGTGCGAGAACCAGAAATTCGCTCTTGCTAGCGTTATTTCTCGCTTCTCGTTTGTGCATGGTTTTCCTTTGCGAAAACTAAATCGCTCGCAACCTCTCGCTCGCTCTAAATTCTTGTCTGCATAGTCGCACCTTTACTTTCAGAAATGTGTTATGCTTTAGATAGACTGAAGGAAAAAGTAGAACAACAAACTGTATTAATTTAATGTAACGTAAAAATAAACTTTGAAATAATATAACACTGAAATTATTTTGAAATTACCCACTCAGAGAAAATAATTTTAAAAAATTAATTTCAGTATTGATAATAAAACTCTACAAATTACTGTCACTGCAATTTAATATTATTTCATCAAAATTATTTATAATCTGAAAATAATTGTATTCCACTAAATTTAATTTACTCATCACTTAATTTTATAATAATATTTGTAATCTTACTCGAAAAATTAATTTTGTGATTAGTATGTGTCAAACCACTACTACTAAAGTCAGTGTTAAAATGTCTTAAACACAATACTTGAAAATATTTGCATATGAAGAAAGCAATAAATATAAAGTCACCATGATAGTTCCAGCTGAGACCAGGCACAAAACAAGATCAAAGTTTGTTTTTTGAACATTATAACACTGACTTTTACTTTCCCAGCTACTTTGTATATAACACAAAAATATTGTAATCATGTTGAATCTGACTCTGGATGTTTTGCAAATCATGACATTTTGTGAACCCAGAAAAGTCAAAAAGGGGGAGAAAAAAATTGTGTGTGTGTGTGTGTGTGTGCAGGATGGGGTAAAGATTAAGAAACAAAATNTTGATGCCGCTATTAAAGCAGCCAAGGTAGACAAATCAAGAATACTAGAGAGCGAAAGAAGTACTACAATCTCGAAAACGAACTCGAAAGCTTCCAGGCTACAGGTGAAAAAACACATAATATCTGTCTTCTCTTAAATGCATTAAACACTATTCCAATCACATCAATTGAATCGGAAAGGGCATTCTCGGTGGCAAGACTTTTCATTACTAAAATAAGAATTAGAGTGAGTTATCGGAGTATTGACCATCTTTGCTTTTTAAAATCTTATAAAAGTTTGCA